ACACGGACCTAAGGATCACACATTTATATTCTCTTTTAACCAGTATGGGTGCTTGTTCTGATGCACTTAAGGTGCATAGACTTTTAAGTGATCTCAGCCCAGACATTACAGAGAAGGTGGCTAAGTTTCTCTCCTTGGCTTTAAAGCTGCGTCTAAGGTTCTTTTAGATTTGTATATGTGTGCTTTCAACTGGTTTTAAAATGTATAAATGGTACTGATATTTTATGCCAATAAAGGCTGACTTGACTTGACTTGACACTTAAAATTCCTGTGCAGCAGCACATTACATGGAAAAATTGGTAGTAATTTTCAAGCTACTTCTGATATAATTGATCTGCTATTGTTGATCTTCTCATTGATGGTCTTCAGATATGTTTGGAACTCTTGGAACACAGTTTGAAAACCACTGAAAGGAAAAGAGGATTCATTTGCAGGCATAATACTAGTTTGGACAGTGAAGAAAGGCATGGCATTATTTTAAAGTAGCTGATATGCTAAAGTTGAATTCTTGTGCCTAGTTTGGGGCTGCCAGTTCTGGCTTAGGAAATACCAGGAGAAATACCAGGAGATAATGGGGGTGGAAACTAAAGAGGGTGGGTTTGAGGAGGGGATGGACTTCAGTGGGTTATAATGCCATAGAGTCCACCTTCCAAAGCAGCCATTTTCTCCAGGTGAACTGATCTCTGTTACATGGAGATCAGTTGTAATAGCAGGACATCTCCAGCTACCAGCTGGAGGTTATACAAATGTGAGATCATGGGATAGGTTGTAAGTAAACAAAAAACTGTGATATTATTGTGCAATCTGTTCACTAACTATTAAGTATTTATATTATGATACAAATTACAAAACATATTCCAGTATAAAATATACAAATATTTAAAGTGTCCTTGTAAACCAAACTGTCCATGATCAAAGTTCCTCTGAATAATACAGCTCATAGTAGCTTATCAGAGTCCTTCTTTGACGTAGAGGTAAATTATTCCAAATAATTCTGACGGGCCCAGCTCTACACCTGTGTTTAGTCCTTTATCAAGGTACCACAGCAGTCACTATAAACCCTGTAAACATATAACTATATTTCAAAACACTCTTGAGAACTAGGCATTGTTACAATACATACTCATACCAAAATTTCATACTCACAAAAAGTTTTTTCTTCTCTGCTTATTCAGTCTGTTTTAAGGAGTGTTTAAACTGCAGACCTCGAAATCTGTTTACATTCAGCTTAATGCAGCATTAGTGCTTAGCTCACTCTGCTGGTTTCTCGTCTAATCTAAGACATTAATTGGTTACAGGTGGCAATGTGTATCCCAGCTATTGTTAAAGAGCCTGAAAAATATCTTGAGCACCTTGCTGAATCTAAAATACAATTGTACAGTTGTATACCTGGAGGTTCTCACTGCCGCCCTCCCTCTTCAATCTCCGTTATGTTTCAGAGGGTCCACTGACCCACAAGACTCCACATTGGGGGACAACATGATTGCAGTAGGGACGAGAAGGGAAATGATGTTCTGTGCTGTGCAGGTCCACTTAGGGAGTATTTTAATGAGTTTTTTTAGTAACCTAGGTGTAACGTCAGAACATTTATAAAATCCATAAAACAAAACAGTCAAATGACAAATTAGAAAGCAGTTAAAACTGTCTATTTTGATTACCACAAGGTGTTAGAAAACAAAAATACATTCCAAGATGTAAATAAGCCAATCATATTACATCAAAGCATTGGTGAAACAAAATATAATAATTAAACAGGCACCACCACTAGCTATGAAAAGCTTGGCAAATGGGGTAGTCATCTCCTGCTGTCCGAAGGACAATAAAAAGGGCACCATTGTAACATATCAGGGGAAACTGTAACTGGCATATATACAGAGAAAATATACATTAATAACACTTGAAGCCTAATAACTATTAAGTATTCTGACACTTCAGAAGAGGTTATCACTTTATTTAAGATGTGGGGAAAATTTGTACACATTGCTTTTGTTAACTATTTCTTTGCCAATCAAAGGACAGGGTGTTCTTGGAAATTATGTTGTAGGGAGTAGGCAGACATATTGGCATATAATGAGGGGGGGGGGGAGAGCAATATAACTTTCTATTTAAACATCTCCCTCTGCAGAAATAGCAGATTAAAGAGGGTTATCGTTCGTCATCCTCTTGTTTACGAGTCCAGTTGGGATTTCGCTGCCATATAAAGAGTGAGTAAACAGTTCCCATTGTACCATGTATTCATAGTAGAACATCATACAGATCTATTGTCATGCTAGTTGGAGAAAATGCAGTAGACCTGAAACATTAAAGTTGCCAGCTTCCATACTGGCAGTATTTTCCCCATAAAAATTGGCAACTCTTTCTTCCACTGCAAGAGGTGTTTTTTCTCTGATGCAGTATATGTATTGTCTAATGTGACATTAACTTCCTTATCTGTAAAGGTGACAAAGTTTGAAGCAAGCTTGACATTTTGTCCAGTTCACCAAGAAATACTTGCCAATAGGTACACCTAAAGGGAAGCTAAGGTGTGTTTTTGTGTTGTACTGATTTGCTTATGTTTATGTATTATGCTAGCAAAATGTGGCCCCATCTGAGGATACTTAAAATCCAGATATTGGAGTGGTGGACGAGGTGGGTTTTCTGACAAACCTGAAAAATGCAGAGTACCTGTAGCTTTAATAAAAAGATGCCCTCAGTGGCTGTTGCTAGGCAACCACAATAGTTTGGCTGGCATTCCAGGTATGGTTTCTGCTTGGCTTCTGTCAGTAAAAGATGGGGGAGCAGAGCCCTTTTGGGGGCTGTTGAGGTATAGTGGTTAGTGTTTCAGATTGGAACCTCAAATCCACCTGCTGTGGAAACTTACTGGGTGACCTCAGGCCAGTTACACACTCTCAGGCTAACCACACCCCACAGGGTTGTTGTGAGGATAAAATAGAGGAGAGGAGAATGATGTAAGCTGCATTGGGTCTCCATTGTGGAAAAAGGTAGGATATAAATGAAATAAATAAGATGTGGGGGTCAGATAAGAGGTAGATTGGTGGGTGTGAAGGAGAGAAGGAAGCAGGGACAGGTGAGGATATGAGAGATGCTGGGATGAGGCAAAGGGAAACTAGTGTAGGGAGGGAGTGCAGGGCACAGTGAGGTGCCCCTTCAAGGTCTCCCACAATGCAAATGGTCCCAGTTAAGCTGGCACCATGCAACTGGGCTGTAGTATTCCTGGAGAGAGGCTGCCAGGGAGAAGGAAAGCTGAAGACCGGGGCGGGGGGGAGATAAAGGTAGGGTTGGCTGATGGGAGGAAAGGACAAGGAGGAAACAGGAAAAAGGGAAAGGCTATGGGAGCTGAAAGAGGATGGCTTGCATAGGAAATCAGAACAGCAGGGGTACATTCCAGGGGGAAGGCAGGGTCTATAGGAATTAATATTTCTATACACCCTCCCCCTTAAAGATGGAAATTCGGGATAGAAACCTCAATTTTCATCTACTCTATTCCTCAGGGAACATGCATACATTTGAGGATTACACTAAATATAACACAGGGTCAGTAGACACAGAATACATCATTACATAAGGAATACAGAAACATTCCAGAAATAACAAAAAATCATTTCACTTCAGGCACAGCTTACAAAACATTTCAATCCACTACAGTTCAAGTTACAGAAAGGAAACAACAGGCTAGAACACAGTTCATTACAGAAACAATAACAGAAGCAGACTCATCCTTAACTTTCAATTCCTCTCCAGCACAGCTTAAACTTTCAAGTTTACAGAAAGAAAGAAAAAAAAAACAGGTTAGAACATTCACAAAACGAAAATCACAAATTGCACATCACTAGCAATTCTGATACAGGGTGGTTAAAATCATTTGGCTTTCTCCTGCCACACAAAGGCACATTTTGGCTTTCACACAGAAACACATCCTTCAGCATCATGGAGACGCTGCAAGGGGAGGTGAGAAGAGAGGTCAGCCCCGAAGTAGGTCTGATCTGTCTGACAACCCAATTCACTCCCACAGACACACACAGGCAAGCAAGCAAAATCTTCATCATGAGAACAGGCTGGTCTTCTCCCCAATCTCACAAGACAGTCAGCATCGTAGAGACACTGAAGGGCTCTGTGGAATGGACGAGGGGCCCAACGCTGACCAGCAACCGTGGAGGGCTGATTCAGGTTAGCAATCCCAAAACCACTCTCACAGACACACATAGGCAAGCATCAGAACATTGCACACACACAAAAAATCAATGTACTTCTCTCTTTCTCTGGAAAGGGCAAGGGAATCAGGACCATGGTTAGCAGGCATCAGGTTGAACTGATCACACCCCAGCCAGCAACCTAGGGTTACTCGGACAAATTCCCAAAACTCTCCCCCCTCTCTCACAGAGATCCAGTGACCCTTCCAGCCTCAGCTCAGATCACCCACAGAGAGACAGACACACATGGAGGCCACGAACCATTCCAGCTGATCCTCCAGCTCAGGTTCCACAACACACATAGACACACATAGAGGCTATTCCAGCCCCTGAGAAAAACACTCACAAGTTTAACAGGTTATCAGGGTTTCTCTGCATCTCAGAAACAACACTCCACCCCTCTGTCCACACAGCTTGAGGTTAGGCTGGGAGACAGAAGTCTGGCGAAAGTTCCTGGCATCCTCTTCTGGCCTTCCACACAGGCACTTTGATGTGATAAACTTTGGCAGTCAAACACAAACAGGATTTGGAATCCACAGGTAGAGTGCACTGGGCTGTGGCTGTAGGGAGAGGCTTCTCTGCACTTTGGGGAGCAGATCCCCCAAAGCTCCAATCCTCTTCTGGCCCACAGGACAGCTGCACCGCTCCACACTCATCTTGATGGCAAAGCGGGAGTAGATTCCCTCTTCTCCGCTGATGCACGGCTCTGCAGCATTGGGAAAGGCTTCTCTGCAATTGGGGGAGCAGATCCTCCAATGCCCCTCTTCTCTCACGCAGGCTGCGTGCAAATTCATCTGCCTCCTCTGGAGTAAAGGCTTCTCCCCAAGGCAGAAATCTCATCAGACGACAGGCAAACACCTTCAAGCAAGAACAAAAGGCTTTCCAAGCAGCAGTCAGGCTCTTTTGGCTGGCAAAAGCTGCATTTCAGCACCCTTTTTCAGGGACAGATCCCTCTGACTTCCAGCGACCGGCTTCAGCAATGATGATGTCATGACCCCTTGCTTGCCAACCTCCTGGCTGGGTACATGCACAGAATTGAGCGAGGCAGACCCAATTCTCAGTCTCTTGTGCACCAGGGGGCTCTAAAGTCAGCAAACAGCCAGGCATCTGCGCTTCTTCCACGCTCCACCTCTGGTACAAAATTCCTAACTAAAACTTTTAAAATAACAAAACTTTCTCATCAGACTGGGCAAGCTCTGCACACATAGGGCAACACACCCATAATGATGGCAACTGACTCCAGTCCATTGATCACGACGCTGCCGCCATGTATAGATTCTCTGCCCCCCAGACCAATCCAGGGAGGGGAAAGAATTCTACACTGGAATCATACATTACACAAGAACCCAGGAGAGATAGCCTCCCTGGATTTCAAGACAATAGCCACCAGAACCTTTTTAACTATAGTCCCCTTCCAGTCCAGGAGCAAGGTTCAGACTCTTAACTGGCCTCTGGGACGTTATACAAGAATAGCTCCACCTAGAGCTGTGCAGTTACTCTTAGCAAGGTAGCGTAATTGGGCCAGCAGTTCAGGCAACAAGATCTAGCTTGGAGTCAGTTACCCTTCAAAACAGACACTTTTAATAAACAAGAATAAGGTTTATTCAGTACAGAGCTTGCAATCAGAATAGAAAGACTTTAAAAGAACATCCTAAGCAATGTTTTGCGTAACTACACAATAAAAGCATATTTACCAAGACAGGAACAGTTATCAATGCAGCATAGTCCATAGTAAGAGTTCCATAGCTCCAAGGGATTTGGAGCAAGAAGTCCATCTCTGTAAGCATGCAGCCATGTGCTCAACTGCACAAAAGAGTCCTTTGTTCTGCCTGTGACAGCATTTCCCAGGTACAAGTCAACAGTAGAGAGAACAAAAGGAGAATCTGAAAACTCCTCCACGGGTCAGACAATTAGAACCCCAATCTCATTATGATCAGCCATGGCCATTAGCCAATCACCAGTAGACAGGGAGTGCCCAACTTTTGGGTTGTCATGGCTACAACTTCTGAATGGTCAGTTGTCGTGGAGGCCACACCTGCAGGCATGTGACCCCAAACCCCATTCTATACGTGACTGTTTGCTTGTTTCTGGTCTCTGCCAGCTAGTGAAGGAATGTTTATGGCAGGCAGTTGACCAAATGGTCAGCCATCTGGCTTGCATAGGAAATCAGAACAGCACGGGTACATTCCAGGGGGAAGGCAGGGTCTATAGGAATTAATATTTCTATACATATGCCACACCCCCTGACATCACCGGAAGTGTGTCATAAGGCCACACCCCCTGACATCACCGGAAGTGTGTCATAAGGCCACACACCCCGCCCCCAACGGTCCCGGCTGCCGCTGCCGGCCTTGCAGCTCCACTGCCAA